CTCATTTAATGCCTTGACAGTGTTCCTTCAGACCTATCCAGGGATTTGTTACTGTGCTTACACTGTAGGGTCCTCTTGCCCTGTGCTTCCATATCAGTGGCACATAATGCGGTACAAATAATTTCATGGTATGTTTTCCCTTGTAATATTTGTGCTGATGAGGCTAAAATGGGTCTTTTTGTTCTTGCTTACAATGACATTCCAGTTCATGCTTGTTATTCTGTTGCTTTCCTTGGTATGAGTGCTAATTGCCTAAAATTAAGTATAGAGCAAACTGAAATATTGCTCTTTCCCAGAGTTCACACTTCCTTTTCCAGGTTTTCATATCGCTTGTTCTTCAGTTACTTATGCTCAATATGCCAGTACTCTCTAAATCATTCCTAACCACTTTCCAGTGATGCAGTCTTGCAAAGCTTCCATAGCTAAATTCTGTCATTTTCATTATTCAATATTGACTAAAATGCATCCTATTCTTCCTGCACATAGTATGAAATCATTTGTACATGCTCCTGTTGGTGGTTTCTGTGGGAATCCTTCTCTCTGTCTTCCTCAAAGACATTCTTCAAAACTTGCCAGCTACATTAATTAACAGTCTACCATGGTTTTTTTCTTCTGTTCCCCTTTTCATAAAATGGCACTGATTACCCATTGCAATGCATGTAAAGTACCATGGTCTGATTGGTTTGGGGTAAATGTGAAGCTACTCCATTGACTTCGTGACATTTCTTTGGAGGTGATTCTTATTTTGCCTAGTTTGGCATAAATTCAGAGTTACTTCCTTGGCTTTACTGCATGGCTTTAGGGTGGATTCTGATTTCAGTTTCATCAGGCTACCCCAAAGTCACTCCACTGGCTTCACAACATTACCCTGAATTAGATTTTAGTTTCAGTCATACCAGAAAGAATCCAAAAGCTTTCCCTTGTCTTTATGCTGTTACTCTGGATCAGATCTTGATTGTACCAGTGTAAATTTGAAGCATTGCTTCATGCATTGCTGTAGGTGCACAGCATTGTAGCTGAGATCAGGAGCTAGCCACCTGATTTTGTTTTTTCCAGGTTTCTCTGTGGCCCTGTTCTGATTCTTCACATACTCTAATAACTCACATCCTCTTATAGAGAACTTGCTTGTTCAACCTGTTGGCTTTTGGCATTGCACTCCTTTCTTCTGGGAGCTGTTTCCCAGATGATCTGTGCTTGTTTTTACTGTTTTTTTTTTTTTTTTACATGCTGTATTCACATCTTCCAGCAAAATTATAAGCAAGCCCGCACAGAAACAGGCAGCTCAAGAGATAATCATCAAGGAACGTAACATCTTATGGCCTTGGCCCGGAGGCAGGATGGTGCAGTGGCTTGGGACCTCACTTAGATCATAAAAGCACAGTGCTCCATTCTCTGCTGTGTCAGATTTCCTGTATGACTTTGGGCAAATCGCTAGCTTCTGGCCAGATGCTATTCCACTTACTGGGTGCCTATGCAGTATTAATCTCCTACATCTGATCCTGTTTGAAAGTGCTAGCAGCCCTGAAAAACTGTTAATGCAAAAGGCAGATGGAACTTCCTCCTCCTCCTCAGTGCATTGTTGTGACAATCTTAAGGCTAAGATGATACCATACAATGGAAGTAGCTGAGTTAATGGTTTTTAAGGGGCTTGAGAGGGTTGGAATTGGATCTCACTTAAGCACCCAAGTCCTATAAAAATGTATAATAGCACTGTATTATAGACTGTAAGATGCTCAAATACTATAGTAATGCAGACTTCATGAATGGTAAGACTGTTTTTAAAACCAGACTGGAGAGAACAATATCCAGCAAGGAGCAACAAGGGGAAATGGGCCACCAAATGGACCTCTTCTTTGAGGGCAGAGGCCCATATTTGACAGCTGAATGTGGAAGTACTTTGCTATTTCAGTGTTTATGGAAGAGACTGACTTTTTCTGAGCACAGTACGGTACTATTGGCTTAGTTCAAAGCAGATCTTGTCTCTTTCATATTTCCTGTGAGCTACTTATCAGAGAGGGGAGGAACATTCCTCGAACAGGTGTTGGGACTGCTTGAATCATGCTGTGATGTGCTCCCTATCTCATATTTCACGTATCTTGTTTACCACATTGCAGCAGTAGGGTTTTCTTTATAAGCCACAGTGCTGGGATGAAATTTCTTGCCACTGTAGTGCTGATAATAATCTACTGAAGTCTAGCCTATCAATTCATCTGTTTCCAGCTACATAATTGTCTTGTTCATAAAATCTATCTACCTATCTACCCACCTACCAATTTGATTCTTATCACTGTAACCTTGGCATTCCACACATGCATACAAATACAAAAAAGCCAACTTGGCCAAAAGCTTATTTCTCTGTCTCTCTGTTGACTGGTCAGTAGAGAGAGAAGAAAAACAAAGATGAAAGCAAAAAACACAGATGGCAATACAGAGAGCCCGAGAGATCACAGAATTTAAAGAGTGATAAAGAGAGGGAGAAGGAATCAGAAAATGATTGAGGAAAAGAGCAAGATAGAGGGAGATCAGATAAAGAGAAAAGAAACAGGAGATGTCAGAAAGAGAAGAGGATGAAAGAAATGAATACCCTCAGGAAGATGATGTTAAAGTGATAGGTGCTGGATATCATAGTAACACTAAATTTCCCCAGCTAGGATCAGAGCCTCATGGTGTTAGGTGCTGTACAAATGCAAGGTAGAGTGGCTCCCTGCCTTGAGGAGCTTGCCATGTAATTTGGAATGGGAGGAAGGATGGGAGCCTAGCACCCAGTAGGAGGGCATGTGAGGGAAACGCTAATGAGACTGCATGGGGTCAGAGAGAGAAAGAGAGAGAGACAGGGTGTGTGGGTTAAGGCAGTGATTCTTTCCCAGGAAGCTGTTTAATCAAAAATATTGTATCTTGTCAGGAGTCAATGAACCAAAGTTAAAATGGACACGTTATTATGCAAATCCCCTCACTGCCTGCTGGGAGGAGACAGGCCTAAGAAAACACAGACTTGAGCTGCTGCTGTGCTAATTGACAAGCAGAAAAACCCCACACTATCATTACTGCATTGTTTAAACACAGCAGAGGAAGAAGAGCCTTGCTTTTTCCACTTTATATCATTAGGTTTCTCTCCACACAAATCTTCTATATTATATGGTCACCATCTCTCTCCCTTCTCTACCCGGCCTGCCTTACCTACCCATTCTGAAAAATGAAATGGTTTATTTTTTTGCCTCACTGAATCTTTCTCCTCCAGAAAGTGAGGATGGACATTTCCAGGCGTGGTACATTGTTCGCTATCTGTTTGAAGTCGTTCTTTTGGCCCTTTATTCACAGAGTAGGTGAATGCTTCTCAATCTCTGCAGTAACTACAGCAGCCCTGAAAGGGATAGAAGAGCTGGTATTCCCAAGTGACAGGCAAATGAGGGAGAGAGAAATACATACTGATTTGCTCAAGGTCCCACAAGAAAAGGGAACTGAACCCAGATTTCTCATGCCTTATTCTAGTCTGGACATAAAACAAGCTACAGATAGAAGTGCTGCTTCAACAGGACAGAGGATGCACTGGCTTGAATGCAAGACTATGTGTCTTACTGTGATGGGTTAGGTTCAAGTTGGGTTTGTTCTATACTTAATACTTTTTGTCATCATCTCTATGGTGGTCAGGAGCCTGGAAAAAAAATCATACCACAACTGATTGCCAGCTTTCTTATGTGGACACAGCTTTTTGGACAGGCAAGTGTGGATGCTGTGGAAACACTCATGGAAGTTCCTGGGAAAACCACAAAATTTTGTGTCTTGGACTTTCTCAAGCTTGTTCATGTCTTTGTTAAAGTGTGGTGCCCAGAACTAGATGCAGTACTCCAGCTGTGGTCTCACCAGTGCTGAGTGGAGCAGAAGAATCACCTCTTTGATTTTGCTGGAGATGCATCAATTGATGCATACCAGAGTATTATTTGCCCTACTGCTGGCTCATATTCATACTGTGGTCTATTATTACCTCCAGGTCCCTTTCGTTCATGGTGCTAGCCAGTTTGGTGCCGCCAAGCCTGTAGGTGTGTTGGGGGTTGCTTGTCCCAAGGTGGAGCAGTTTCAACATGTCTTAACGTTGAACTTCATGAGATTCTAATTTTCCCAACTTGCTAGCCTGTCTAGTTATGCCTGTATCTGTAGCCTATCTTCAAGTGTGACCATGCTTCCACATAACTTGATGTCATCCGTGAACTTGGCCAGTTAACTGATGTCAACTGAGTTTTTTCACAGTACGAGATATCAGTTCTCCATTTGGAATGACTTGTATCAGTAAAAAGACATTTTGCTGGTATAACTAAGAAGCAAGCAAGAGAAGGCAGTAACTACAGCAAGGCTTTTGTGCTCACGTAATTATCCTAACTCATCGCTAATCTTGAGCACTGCAGTGACAGGAGTTACTAATGGGATTCCCGTATGCAACACTGGGGGTGCATCTACATGAGATGCTACGTCGCCCTAGCTTGTTGTGACATAGTTCATTGCTATGGCAATGTAGCATCAGCAGGCATTAACTATGATGCTGCCACTACAGCACAGTAGCTCATTGCTACTGCACAGTAGTGGTGGCATCACTTGTTGCTAGTGCACAGTAGGGTAAAAATGACCCAGGTGGTGCCAACTGTGCAGTCAGGGGTATGTGCCCTGGGAGATGCAGTCACCTGAATGCAGATAGTTCTGGGCTCTATGGTTGCAGGGGGCCAGGGGCAAGGTAAGTTGTTGTGCTGCTGTTCCCCACTGTAGCAGTTATTGGGCAGTCACTTGTGTTTGCTGTGCTGGCTTGAAACAGCAAAGCATGTTCTGGGAAAAGCTGTAGGAGATATGCAAAATACTTACTGTGATCAGAAGGTTTGCATAGTCTATGTCCTGGATGTCTGATCAGTGACAACACATAGGAAGTGCACGGGGGTGCATGTGCACCCCCTGAGAATGCTGGTGTGCCCCCAACAGCCAGCATTTCCTGCTTACCTGATGGCCGGGGGGCAGTCAGGAGCACTGGTGCCTCCCTCCCCCTCTGAGAGGGCCGGCTGGAGAGTAGGGGTGCAAGGAGAAGCGGTGCTGGCACTTCCAGGTTGCCTCAGTTGGCTGTAGGGGAAGCCTCCCCTGGTCGCTGACTGGCCCCTGGGGGGGGGGGGGGCAAGTGCCTTCCCCAACTCCGGAGTCCTTAGCTGCCCATGGGTCTGATCCCCTCCAAATGATGAAGGGCTTTGTGGGTAATTTGTGGGTCAAGTTACCCTAGAAGTGCCAGTCATTTTTCAATTCCCAAGAATGTCATATATCTTGACTTCAAAAAAGCCTTCAATCTGGTATCCCATGATCACCTCTTGGCGAAACTGGCCAGTTGTGGCCTTGGGTCCACGACGATCCGCTGACTGGGAAATTGGCTCCATGGTCGGACCCAGAGAGTAGTAATTGATGGCAGTCACTCATCATGGTGTCCTGTGACCAGTGGGGTCCCCCAAGGATCTGTCCTTGGACCCATATTGTTCAACATCTTCATTAATGATGTGGACATTGGAATCAGGAGCGGACTGGCCAAGTTTGCCAATGACACCAAACTTTGGGGCAAAGCATCCA